AAAAAAAAGTAATTTTCTGTTTTGTTTTATTCTTGGATCAGGCTTTAAAGGGTTAAACTGGACAGAAAAACCAACCGAAGCAAAAACCATGTAAAGAATATGCTTCATCTACTTTAATGGCTTAAATGAGGCTTTTTAATGAGCTCCTCTGCTCACACCGTTTTATTTTCCTTCCACCTGGACGCTCCAGCTAACTGCCTCCTTCTTCATTTCCACCAATCAGCATCATCCATGCTGCTGGATATCTTATGTTATATATTATTTTATTACAGTTTTAAAGAAGCAAATGGTTCCAGCCACTCATCCAGTGCCAACAAAGTCCATCAAAGCAGCTTGTTAACAGATTTAATGTAAGAAAAATGGATTCTGAATCGTTCACCTTGTCGTGGTCGATCTCAGTGTCTCCAGTGATGACTATTCTCTTTTCAATGCGGGTCTCAGAGATCCCTCCTTTCACCGTCTGAAAGGAGGGAAGACATAAATGAATAAATAAATGATTTGGAGGTAAACACGTCCCCATAAGGAACCAAAACTGTTTAAATCCCACAAAGAGGCCTAAAAGCTTGGCTAACCCAAAGAGGTGGAATTACTGTTTATTAACAGTAGTCGTGTTTATTTGATCCCAGACTGTCCAAAGTGCTCCAAACAGGCCTCTAATGTCTTTTTACCCGAAACAAACAGAAGAATCTGGTCTGAATGGAAAAAGGAATGCAATAACGTCCAGATTTGGCTCTCGGTTGATTTTGGTCCGACTCAGAAAGGAGCAATTCAGACAGAGCTGGTGTCAGTTTAAGGCCAAGAAGTGGATTTTCTTGTGGTGCTTGTACAGTATTCCAGTTTAATGAAATTAAGTGGAAACGATTTCCCTGTTGTTTTTTTTTAGATGAATTAAAGTTTAAAAAGGAAAAGGAGCTGAACCTTAACTTCAGGTACTGTGGAATCAGATGGATATATTACATTACATTATATTATATTATATTATATTATATTATATTATATTATAT